AAAGGTTTCGCAAACTATTTACTGGTTAGAAATGCACTGGGGACGTAAAAACAGTGTTTGGCTAGTGACCGAGGAAGTTGTTTGAAGAGGGTGTTGCCCAAACATAGCTTAACAGCCTTTGAGCTCATGAATCAAACAGAAGAGCTATTACACAACTACCATGTCTTCATAGTCCTTCTGAGCACCAAGTATACCAAATAAATTTAGCACATCTTAAGCCCTCTAAAACAAGTAGTACCTGTTCTAACTGCGGCAGAACCTTCCCCCCTGAGAACAAATCAACTATGATTCCTGCAATTTGTTCATCAAAAAACTAGTTGGCTATATTATTACAAAGCAAAATAGATATATTGTTCAGCACTTGATCTGTGAAAACTTCAACACTTCTGTGAGTAAAAAGAGCTGAGCCACATCAGCTTTTGTCAGAGAGCGAGAGGGAGTGGAGAGAAACAAAACGGGAAAAAAAAAAAAAAAAACGGGAAAAAAAAAAAAAAAAAAAATGTGGATGTATATGCCACAAAGACAACTGTTGATGCATTTGAACCAAATATCAATGAATTTGTCTAAGGAATGTGAGTAAAACGATTGGATCCACTACATTACCCATCCAAAATATAACGGCAACAATCTTAATACATATCTACCAGGATAATAGAATATATACAATATTGCTATCCTGAATGCATACGTGCTCACCAGCATATCCTCCAGTAATAGCAGCATCAGGAGAAAATACATCACCAATATGAATATTGAGAAACCCACCATCCGTAGTGTGCTTCTCGAGATCACGAAGCCCAAGATAGTCTCTAGATTGATCTATTAACTGACATCATCAAATAAACATCTCATCACAAAAATGATTAACAAGTCCTATATGAAATATTGAATATTAGTAAGAGATCATCGTTATAGTGTAAGCTATGTGTAAGTTATTGATATATGCTTTTCTATAAGAATCTTAAATCTATATCAACTACGTAGGTAAACACAAGCATTTGCAGAATTTTACTAGAATCTTTAGCTTTCTATTCAGGGGATGGTATATAGGCACATAAGCAATAAATATGAAGGTAGAAATTGGTAAAAATAAGACATATGCGTACAACATCTCAAGTAAAAATTAGTCGAATCTAAAAGTGGAGAGCAATGGTTATTACGATTTCATCTATCTCCCAACCGTCCAGCTGCAGTGAAGGCCATAAATCAAGCATCAAATGCGCAGCTGTTCCTCCACCCTGAGATTTTCGCAACGCCATTATCAACCCATTATCTAATACAGAAACTCTTAAGAATTCTTTGCAAGTCATTAGACTAATAAAACAAGAAGGTGAAGCTGAAAAAGTTCACCTTATTCAAGTCAGAGGAAAAACATTTGTATTACCAAGCCAAAAATTGCGATGGGGCCCTCTGGAACAACAGGCGGTAATGCTACAAACTCATCCTGCACAAGGGATCTCGAAATTGTTAGCCCGTGAGTTGAGGTCGAATGGAAAATTCACCTTTCCAATATTAAAAAATCTGAATGGAGGGCATGGGTAGAACTCATCCCCAAAAGTTATTTTAAAGGAAGAGGGTGTTCAATCCACATTTATACACAATAACAATCCAATATCTCAATAATTTGGCAGTGGGACTAACAAAGACACAACTTCTAACAGAATCAATAATGAAATGATTAAATACCAATCAAGAAAAATAATGATGAAATGATCAAATATGCAATCAAAAAATATAATGAAATGATCAAATGGCTCTAGGCTATTTAACAGGGATGAGACTTACTTTCTTCTTCCTTCTTATCTTATTTCTTATTTATTTTGTTCTTGTTAAGGATGACAAAAGAGACTCGAGGACTACCGATACTCCCAGTCCAATCAAAATGCTCACAGCATAATGCATTTACATAAACTATTTGCAAGGGGAATAAGGGAATTGACCACTATTATACGAAAAACCAAAAAATAACTGGAGAAGATTAGAAAACGAATACAACACAACTAAAAGCCTCGTTTTAATCAAAGAATACACACATTAAAAGAAGTACTGTAAGATGATGAGCACTAAAGTCAAGGAGGGACACACGTACGGCATACCCAATAGGAGCCCGTCAATTTACTTCCTTCTTTGTTAAAAACGCTGTGAACATTATCTGCAAAATCAGGCAAAAGAAACAACAGTATCAGGCTGAAAACAATTGAGGACTAAGACACTGTGAAATGAATGAGTGGGTGTTTACTGGTGGAGTCGAGGAGCAGAAGCCTTGACTTGGGGGTATCAAGGATCACGATGCGGTTGTATCTGCTCTCGACAGCCGTCAGCACTCTGAACTCTTCTTCTTCTTCTTTTTCTTCTTGTCCAACGCCGGCAGCAGCTTTGATGAACAGCGTATTAGGCTGCCGCAGTTTGGACTTCCGGCTACCAAAGTTGCCGTGTTTCGCACTCTTTAGTGCGGGAGATGGAGACGGCGAGTAGCAAGTGGCGGTGAGGGACAATCGTAACTGTGGTGAGCAGCAGCTCATCGTGGTTCTAGCTCCCCTCTATTTGTGGGTGATGATTTCTGTGAGTGGATAAAATTTCACAAATTCAGAAATTCTTCTTTTATTATTACTATTACTCCTCGTTTGCTTCGGGTGACAGGGCCGGATAACTTAAATAGTCTCACGATATCCGACGTTTACAGCCAGGGATTGAGACAGAACTGAGTGATGTGGATGATGCACATGTGGCGGCAGGGCCCAAAACATATCATTTGTTGCCCGATTATCTCTGTCCCGCCTAGACCCCGGAATTTTTTAATCCGACAATATTCATGCCAATTTTGCCCTAAAAAATGCATGTAAGAAGCCTTAAATATCCCTGAACATTCATTTAATTACATAAACCCCCACCATTTAATATTAAATTCACCAAACTTTGCCCTAATCTACCAACAATCGAAAGTGCAGAGGGAGGTGGAGTTCTTCGTCATTCCGTCGCCAAGGTAAGGTCGAATCTCACTTTTTTTTTTTGTGTGTTTTCGATAATTCAAGCTCCAATTCAATCATTTTTGGTCGCTCTCTTCATAAACCCTATTTCTTCGGAGTCCGGTTGGCTGAAGTCGGCTTCGGCATTGACTGGTGATTCGTTTTTAATTTTTTAAAATTGCAATTAATTTTATGTTTTTGTTTATCCGTCGCGTGTCCCATTTGTCAAAAATTTGCCGAGACGTTTTAATGTGGTTCAAGAAATCGGGTTGTCCCATTTTTTGTTTGTCAATCGTACTTCATATTGCACAGACGCTTTTGTGTTTGGAGAAATCCGATTCGTCAATGTTTGTTTTTTTTT